TACACACACACCACGTGTATGATATTGCTTTTTATTGTGGTTTAACCTGTCAAGGTTGAAAATGTAAAGAAAAATCTGCATCACGCCTTGAAATAATAGCTTTTCTACTTTTGGTGATCCTATATTGGTGGCATGGTGGTTAGTGTTGTTGCCTCACAGTAAGAAGGTCCTGGGTTTAAATCCACAAATTGGCATGAATGGTTGTTTGTCTCTGTGATTGACTGGGGAGCTGGCCAGGCTGTACCCTGCCTAGTGACCTATCACTTCAGGGTTATGCCCTTGCAACCAGGCTAAAGATAGGAGTATTGTAGTTGTTGCAGATCCATTCACTTTTTATGGTAACCAGACTCTAGACTTTGTTGAACATTATGTAATATGAAGACAACATGTAGTATTTAAGTGACCAAGTAGTACCGGGGTAAAAGTTATTGAATAGTGTTGAAATGAAATGACAAAATTGTGAAGGATTAAAATATTCCAAGAGCTCAACTTACTTCATCTAAACATGTTTCAATCGCATTTTCTGAACACAAAATGTACAGGTTTATTGAATAGGAATAAGTTGTGTTGATTTAACTTATTTGTCTAAGTTTCTGCCAAAGTAAAACATTTGTGTGCAACCAATGTGCACTACTGAATCAAGTAAATCCACCATGGCCTTTTTTCCAGTGCAGAATAGAAAAGTAACCCTTACGTTGTGGTTTCCAGTATTTCTGGTTTATCATTGCATTTCTGCACAGAGAACGTGTCACAGTACATTAGCCAGCAGGGCATTTTTAGGCACAGAGCTGTATCTGTTTTACAACTTCTTGAAAAAAAAAACCCTGTTATTAACCCTGTTATTTGTTAAATCTGAAAAGTGTTAGAATACTGCTTGAATTCTCTGATGCACATCTCTCATTCCTTTCACATTTTTACAGCCAGTGGTCTGCTGTCAAACTACATCCTCAATATTTAGGATGCAAATTTAAAATTTGCAAAGTAAAACATTTTGTCAATGGATAATAATAATTTCTTTTGAACATCATTTTGAATGCACAGAAAATAGGCAGAGATTATTGGTACTGAGTGTGTGTGGGCAAAATAAAATGGCAGCAAATGAAAAAAAAAAACTTATTTCAATGCTTGCAATGATGGTAGTTCACCATATCAACATTACCTCTATTTTTTATTATTCAAAATTATACCAAAAGCCAGAATAAGGCTTTGCCTATTACATCTATTCTGTGTTAACCAATAAAGTTGGTCGCCTCTTTGTATGTTTGCAGATGGGTTCTTTCTGTTCTAGAACAATGCCTATCTTTGCTCTAACATAGGGAAATAATTTTATCTGAGTGTTTCAACAGTGTTTTTCTGTGTAATGACAATCATCCACCACATCAGAGATGTTTGTGCAAATTACCAGCATTAACACTTACCATTATTCCCCTTTCCAGGAACCCACATATGGACATGAGCCTCTATTTATCTCT